CCCAGCAGGTCGAGGCTGCAGTGGCCATGAGCGTGCCACTGCACTCCAGCCTGGGCAATAGAGTGAGACTCCAACTAAAATAATAATAATAATAAATAAAATGTTTATAGAAACAAGATCTCCTTATGTTGCCCTAGCTGGATCTTTTTGTTTTGTTTTGCTTTTTTTTGAGTCGCCATCTCACTTAGGCGATCCTCCTGCCTCAGCCTTCTGAGTAGCTCGAACTACAGGTGCGCATCACTGTGCCCGGTTTATTTGACTTTTTTTTTTTTTTTTTTTAGTTGGAATCTCACTCAAACACTCAGACTGGAGTGAGTGCAGTGGTACGCTAGCTCACAGCTCCTGGCTTACAGCCACCACAGCCTCGACCTGCTAGGCTCAGGTGATCCTTCCGCCTCAGCCTTCCAAGTAGCTGGAAACACAGGCGCGTGCCACCATGCCTGGCTGAATTTTTTATTTGTTGTAGAGAGACGGTCTCGCCATGTTGCCCAGGCTGGTCTCGAATCCCTGGACTCAAGCAATCCTCCTGCCTCAGCCTCCCAAAGTGCTGGGATTACAAGCGAGAGCCACCGCGCCCGGCCCCACCTAGAAATTTTTAAAGATTTAAAAGTGTTAGTTGCTTTATATTCTTGTTCATTTTACATTCTCAAAAACATGTCTGAAAAAAATAAATCTGAAGTGTTCACCGACTAACTGTTGTAATGCTACCCATTTTACAGCTGAAGAAACTGAGATGCAGGCTGCCCTAACCGGAGGGACAGAAGAGGAAGTGCTCCAGGAATTCAAGTTTGATTAAAAAAAATGTTTAACAAGGGTGCGGGTCAGGGGCACCTCCTTAAGAAATCACAGACCCACCCCAGAAGTCCTGCGCGCCTGAGATCTCTAAAATACGCCACTCTCATTTCCCAGCGCTGCCGCCCTCGTCGACCCCTGCTGCGGCCTGGAGTGCGCCATCTCTAAAACTCCATCGCACTGCCTCCACCGCAGCTCCCCATTTCTGAGAAGATGACTGCGCAGACACGCTTCCCCGAGGTGCAGATTTATAGACCTGACTCGACGCCCTTAGCAATCAGCCCCCCTAAGCCAATGCAACTGTCTACAGGGTGCCTTTCTCCGCTCCCGGCCCATGACAGACAGCAAGGTCAGCCAATGGTGGTGCAGAGAAAGGCGGGTCTTGGGATGCTGCGGGCATTTGATAGGCTCTACTTCACCCCGGAGCCACTGACAGACGAATACCTATGAACAGGAGGTGGGCTTTGGGCCATAACAGCCAATGGGAGGTGGTGTGGGCCTGAGACTTGCTACAAACAAGCAACTAAATGTTACTTTTAAATTAGCAGCGGTCCAATTG